AGAGAAGGTCCGCGAGCTCGTCATCGACGGGGAGAAGGTCGTCGCCGTCGTATTCGAGCTCATCGCTGTCGTTGTCCTCGGCAGGGAAGGCGGCGTCGCCATCGGAGAAGAAGATAGGTTCGCCGTTCGACCCATCGATCACTTCGCTGTCTGAGTGCTGGACGTCGGGGTCGTGTAAGAACTCGCCCTCCTCCCCGCTTGTCTCAGCCTCGGGGTCGGTGAAGTATTCGATGTCGGTCTCAAGCCCGTCGTCGCCCTTGGGTGCGCCCGCTGGGAGAACCGCCCGCCGCGGCCGCACGCGCTCGGCATCGGCCTCGACACCGCTGCCCTCCGTCATCTCGCCCTCTGTCTCGCCCTCCTCATCCTCGGTCATTTCAGCGTCGACCTCGCTGGCATACCGCACATCCATGCCCTCCTCCACCTCTACAACCTCATACTCCCCATCCTCGCCCTCCAGATACACAGTCCCCTCCGCATCCTCTAACCCCACGGCGTCAATGGACAACCCATCTTCGCCCATGAAGTAAACGGACTGCAAAGGAGCCATCGGGCCCTCCGGATGAAGCCCTTCATGCACCACCGCATCCTCGCCCTCGCCCTCGCCCTCGCCCTCGCTCTCGCCCTCGCTCTCGACACCCTCGACACCCTCTACGCCCTCTTCCGCTTCCACACCCTCCTCAGCCTCATACGCCGCCATCTCCTCCATCTCCATCTCCTCGATCACCTCCGCCGCCTGCGCCTCCCGCTCCGCCATTTCTTGCTCCGTCTCCTCCCGCCTCTGCACCTCCTTCTCGACGCCCCACCCCTCCGCGCCCACCGCCTGCTCCATCACCCGCACATCCTCAAACTCGGGCTCGTCGACAAGCGTGTCTTCGAGGCCGAAGATATCCAGCGCCGACGCCGCTGAGTCTTGAAAGGCCGCGATTTCGGGAGGTACTTCCACGTCGTCGGCGTCGACTTCTGTCGTCAGACCATCAGCGGGGGTGGAAGTAGCAGGAGTGGGTGTGGGGGTGGGGGTGGGGGCCGGGGACGGGGACATCCAGCTCCGCGTCGCCGCCTGCGCTTGCTCCTGCACGCCAAGCGCCTGCGTCAAGCTGCTCGTGAAGCTCTTCACGCTCTCCTCCTCGCCCTCGCTTTCGGCGGCGTCCATCTCAGCCTCCTCGGCCTCCTCCAACGCCGCGACGCGCTCCTCGTACTCCTCCTGCAGCGCCTGCACCGTCTCGTCCGCCTCCGCCTCCGCGAGCTCGGCGTCGGCGGCGGTAGCGGCGTCGAGGGTGGCGCGCTCGGCGGTGTAGTCTTCTACGGCGCCAAGCTCGGCGCGCCGGGCTGTGCGGCGTTCGCCACCTGGAGGATGTGTCAGCAATTGAGCAGAAGAGGAAGAACAAAAAGAAAGAAGAACGGATGTAAAAGCTCGTCGAAAACGAAGGAAGACAAACGCATCATCGTTGGCCGCCCGACCGCCAAAAAAAAAAAAACGCAAACACCACTCACCCGTCCTCAACACCCCCGCGTCTAACCACACCTCAAACAGCGCCGCCGCCTCGCGCACCGACAACGCATCCGGCACCCTCACCGCCCGCAACGCGCGTTCCCTCCTCTTCCCCTTCACCACTTGCCCGCCTTGCTGCTGCTCGGCGCCCTTCCCCTTTTTCTTGTTCTTCTTATTCTTCTTTTGAGATTGAGATTGCGAGACGGGCGCGGGCGCGGCGGCGTCCCCACCCGCCAGGTCGACTTCGCCGTCCTCGAGGTCGGGGTCTTCCTGTCCTTGTCCGGGCGTTGCGTTTGCGTCGTTGGCGCTCTCCGTAGCACCCTCAGCGGCCTCCACGGAGGGTTCGCCGACAGCCGCCAGCGCCCCCAGCGGGTCCTCATACGCGCCCTCCCCCTCCCCCTCCTCAAGCTCGTCATCCTCCTCCAAATCGCGCTCGAGCACGGCGCCCCGCCAGAGGTCGGCGGGGCGCGGGACGGGCGCGGGGTCGGACGCGGTGGGGCGCAGGGCGGGGGCGTCTTCGAAGACGGGCGGGTCGTAGACGCGGTAGCCGGTCCAGGGCTCGGGGAAGGTGGGGATTTGATCTGTGGGAGTGTCAGCGAGACGCAGGAAGGGATAGGGGGAAGAGAAGGAAGAATGAAAGGAAGAATGAATGGGCGGGAAAGTGAAAGAAAGGAAAGTGAGTACGAAGGAGGAGGTAGGAAGTAAATGGCGGACGGCGCATAAGTAGATCAATGTACGGAGTAAAGAAGATGACAAAAACGAGGAGGAAAGCGAAGGAGAGAGGGTGCCGATGAGGATGAATGGAAAAACGGGACGAAAGCAAAGGAACGCAAAGAGAGGACAAAGACCCACCCTCCCCATCCAGCCCTTCCCCTTCCCCATCCACCCCACTCCCATAATCAACAACCACCTCCCCCTCCAAATAGCTCGCCAGCTGCGCGCTCCGCCGCTCCCGCACGCTCCGCGGACTCGGCGTGAACTCGTCGGGCAGGGAGAGCGCGGTGGCGAGCTGCGGGGGGACGGGGAAGGCGGGGTCGGAGCGCGTGAGCGCGCCGAGGAGGAGGCCGCGGGCCTGTGTGAAAAAATCGCGTCAACATCATTGCGTCCAGTTACGGTGATGATTTAAATAAGGAGGAGGGAGGAGGGAATGGGAATGAGGAGGAATGAGAGGAGAGTGAAAATAAGAAATGAGCACGCACCAACCCCCTCCGCCCCCCCGCAAACTCCAACAACACCCTTCCCATCCCCAGATGATGCGGCCTAATGCTCTTATACTGCGCGTCGCGATACCCGCTCCGCCCCGCCGCCAGCGCCTGGAAGTCGTCGATCGCGAGCAGGACCGGAAATTGGGTTTGCGAAGAGAGCTCGGTAAGAAGGGCGTCGAGGAGGGCGGGCGCGAGCGCGTGGTCGATCGTCTGTTGCGCGGCGGTGGAATCTGCGTTATTTGAAGACGAAGCAGTAGATGGGGACGCAGAGTCGGGTGTGACGGTGGAGATGGCGAGGTCGACGAGCGCGGTGAGGGGCGTGCCGGGCTTGAGGTGGCCTGGGGTGCCGCCGCTGCTGGCTTCCCCGCTCGCCGTCGACGTCGAACTCGCGCTCCCCGCCGGCGCCGGTGCCGTCCCGCCCGCCCCCGCCCCCGCACTCGCAACACTGAACCGCCACTCCCGCGTCGTCCCCAGCACCTCCAAAAACTCGCGATTCGCCCGTCCGATCCGGCTGAGCAAGTTCCACGCCGCGCGCGGCTGCTGGTACGTCTGCGTCTGCAGGCTGTACACCGCGGGCGTGGAGCCGTCGAGCAGCGCGCGCGTGCGGGGGAGGTAGATGACGATCCACTGGCGGTGCCCGGACGGGGTGCGGAGGGCGGCGGCGTAGGAGGCGAGCTGGAGGAGGAGGAAGGACTTGCCGGTGCCGGGGCGGCCGTTGAGGACGATGCGGGCGTTGGGGCGCGCGGTGGGGGGAGCGTGGGGTCGGGGGTCGGGGGGGTCGGGGGAGGATGGGTCTGGGGGGGGATCTGGATGGGAGGAGGGCGGGACGGGGAGGCCGGCTTCGTGGAGGAGGCGGATGAGGGAGAGGGTGGTGGAGGTTATTACGGAGACGGGGGCGCCGAGGATGCGGAACTGCATGTATATTAGCGTAAGAACGACGAGAAGATGAAGACGAAAAGAGACAGAAGGACGCGCGCGTGTGTACTATTACCCCGGCCAGCAATTTGCGTCCATGCACGAGCGGGTGGACCTTGGCTGGTGCGCCCATGCCACTCGGAACGAAGCAGCACGCGCCTCGTCGCGGCACGCAACGCCAAAAGTAAAAAAATCCAAGAAGCCCCGCGCGCGCCTCCAGTCTGGTGGTTTCGAGGGCGGCTCCCGGTTCAGAGCAGCCGTCCGTCCACCAAGGAGTAGTCTGCAAGCATGACCTGCGAGTAGACCCAACAGAACGCAAGCAACACGGGGACTCGCTCCTCGTGGCGCAACGCGAAAAAAAAGTCCAAAAAACTTCCCACCAAAGCACGTAGAAACAGGCAGGAGGAAACACGGGCGGGTGGACAGGTTAAATATTCTCCCAGCTGTCCACGAGATTCTTGGCGTCCCATGGTCAAAAACGCGCGCCAGTTCCGCGCAAGCTAAAGAAAAAGAGAAGGGAACGGGCCTACCTCGACCAGCATACTCTTTGGCACGCCATACACCCGCAACGGGCTGCTTGGGTCTTCGTCCTGAAACCGTGTAACAGACCCGGGCGACAAGCCCCCCGGCCCCGCGAGCCCACCTGCCTCCAGCACCGGCACATCCAGCTCCACCCGCCCCGGCGGGCCCGCACTCTCGAAGATGGGATGGGTCAACGCCGTCGCGCCCATCGCGCGAAACGCACCCAGCCCCTTCTCCTTCGGCGCCACGATCGGCCGGCCCTGCGCGTCCCGCGGTGCCCCGCCTTGCGCACTCTGGCCCGTAGCTTGAGTGCCTGGGGCGGGGGAATTGAGCGCGGCGAGCTGCATGCGCGCCGACTCGATCGCCCTTTTATTGCGCTGCGCCCCGCCGAGGCCCTGTTTTACCTGCTCGGGGCCCGTACCCCCGATCCTGACCTTGTGTTTTTTGTAGTGCCGCACGCCGAGGCGCGAGAGAGGCGCTGCCCGCCCGCGGCAGAGCAGGTGCATCAGAGGAAATAATCAAGTCGAGAATTTTATTTCGTTCACATCATTGCTTTGCCTTATTCGTAGTCCCAGCGAGTAGTGCGCGACCTGGAGAACACTTACATCGGCGGCATAGCTCAGCTGGGAGAGCAGCAGACTGAAGTCAAGTTCAGATCATCTGAAGGTCCGGTGTTCAATCCACCGTGCTGCCATTCATTTTTTGTTCGACATTTTTTGTTCGACATTTTTTGCCCAAAATATTCGCACTTCTGGTTGCAAGCACGTTGAATTCAAGCAAAGCCTTCCCTCTGCCCCTTTCAAGTCCATCAGCAACCAAGTACCTTCAACCGAACTGAGAAAAAACAAAAAAGCAGGACTATTGGGTGATGTCCTCGGCGAGACTCGAACTCGCATCCTCCGCAACTTCGCCAATTGAACAGAAGACCGTCTACCAACTAATCCACGAGGGCGTGATAGGTGGTGGTGGCTTTCTATCCTCCAATCTACTCTCTCGGACTGAAACCTCAAGTTTGTTCACTGTGAATGTCTGATGTTTAGACAGTTCAACGACGCACGAGTCCTCAGCACAACTGAGAGTTAACCATCTTTTCTTTCAAAATGAAAGCTGGGATCGTTCAACGTTTAATCTGCAGAAGCTCTGTTCAAAAGAACGACAAAAAACACATATCTCCTAAACTATGCCCTTGGCGGGATTCGAACCCACGTCTTCCTCGTAGACAATGGGGTTCGCACTGAATAGTGGAGGACGATCTACCACTGATCCACGAGAGCATGAGGGTTAGCTGCTAATAAGTATGCTTACAGATAGCAACTTTTAAAAGTAAATAAAATAAGATCAAGCACGGTTGAAGCACAGATCACTTTTAAGTGCTGGACAACTAACTATTAGTCTTGTCCAACGAGAAGCAATAATTTGAACACACAGTGTTGAAAGGGAGGGGGGGAAAAAGTGAGCTTTTCCTCGAGCTATGCCCTCGGCGGGAGTCGAACCCGCATCTTCCTCCGAATAGCGAAGACCCAATCTTACATTGAGAGGATGATCTATCATCTAACACTGATCCACAAGGGCTTCAAGTTCTGGTAACTTGTACTAAGTAGAGTACTACAATCTGGTCTAACGGCTTGAAAAAGAAATTGAAGACAGTGATGAAGGAGAAAAGACAAAACAAATGCCTCTATCGACTACGCCCTCGGCGGGAGTCGAACCCACGTCTTCTTCCGAGCTGTAGAAGTCTACGACAGTTTGAGAAGATGCGTCTAACCACTGAGCTACGAGGGCATGATGGACAGATTCCCATACTTATGCTCAACCGGTACTACGGCAAGTAGAATCAGATCAGTCTAGTAGTGAATGTGAGGAAACCGTGTGTAGTTCAAATTGGCAGGAAGGGTGGATAGATAGTAGAGAATCTGAGTCTATGACTTGGGAACAAAAACTCAGCAAAGAAAAGAAAAAATCAAAAGAGGGCCAAGTACTACAATGGAAGGGAGCAGAAAAGAGAAAAAGGAAAAACAGATGTCCTGGGACATGCCCTCGGCGGGAGTCGAACCCGCGTCTTCCTCATGAAAGTGAAGCTCATCGGATAGTTTGAGAGGGTGCATCTAACCACTAAGCTACAAGGGCATGATGGGCCATCGGGGTTGGAGTGTAGGCCAAGTAAAATAGGTGCAATCAAATTTGGTGTGGATTTGAACCGACATCCAGTGAGGCCGCGCCGCAACCTCGCCGGGTACATTTTGGGTAAGTACAGAATTGATTAAGGGGCTTCGAAGACAAGCAATTTCCTTTTTTGGGAGGAGGGGGGCGGGGCGGAGGCTTGACTTGCTTGAGATTTTTTTTCAACACCAAATTTTGGATTTTGTTCTATAGCCTCAATTTGCATAGAAAAGGCCCCGGGAAGCTCACACCAAGGTCTGTCCGGAAAAATTGGCCTTAAAAGCCATTTTTTTTCCTGTCTGGCGGCCTCGAAAAGCCACTTTCAGACAGGGGTCATCATGTGGGGCTCGAAAAAATCATATGTTTTTTGGCCACGCCTATCAGCGCTTATGGCGCAACAAAGGAACTAGGGTCAGCTAGCACTTGCATGGTTTCGGTACCTTCAATGTAACCTTTGTAACCTCAAGATGCTGATGAAAAGTCTTCACTATGTACACGGGTGGAATGGGAAAATGCTCGCTAAGGTGAGATAGATGGAATATATCTCCAACTAAAACACCAAAATTACAGCCATTTGCGGAACTTAGGGCGCGGGTCCTTTTTTTTTTTTCACACTTTTCAACGAGAATGGTCATTTTGACCTCAATTCTTGTCCGTTTGCCTCGAGAATATGCTCATTGTGTCCGCAATGAGAATGCGGAGGGCACCACGGTCTTCGTTTTCCCTGATGCGATCATAATTGCCTTATTGGGAAAATGTCGCCCTTTTTGTACAGAACTTGTCGCATCCTCTGTGCTGTGGTCAGATTGACCTATAAATTTGATATGATGTCTTTATGAGTATCACTGAGGGCTAGACGGACCGGGATTTTGAATGTGTGTCTTAGTTTACCGGTATTCTGCATTCTCATAATGTGGGATATCTGAATACCTTGTATACAAGGAATAAATACAATATGAGGAAATACCGGTCCGTCCAGGCCTCCGTAATACACCCAATACCATCCTCTCAAATTTTTAGGTCATTTGGATACCTATAGCTATCACGCTCATCATTCTGTACAAAAAGGGCGACATTTGCCCAATAAGGCAATTATGATCGCATCAGGGAAAACGAAGACTGTGGTGCCCTCCGCATTCTCATTGCGGACACAATGAGCATGTTCTCGAGGCAAACGGACAAGAATTGAGCTTAAAATGACCATTCTCGTTGAAAAGTGTGAAGAAAAAAAAAAGGACCCGCGCCCTAAGTTCCGCAAATGGCTGTAACACCAAACTACTCTCAACCACTAGTCACTTTGTGATGAACAGGTTTGTTCGGGGGGTGGAAGCCAAGTATTAGGCTTATATAGATCAAGTTATTCAAATAGTTCAAGATTGTGCAAGTTTGTTTGGACAGCTCAACTTCTAGTTCGAAGGAGCAATGATGGTCTAGTTGGCTACTGGTTTGTGCACTTTTGGGTTTTTGCTCGGAAGCGGGGATGTGTATGGTTACGGTTGGTTAAACCGGCATCTGCGGAAGAACTTAGATGCAACAACAGATTTTTGGTCTTTTTGTGCAAGTTGGTCAAATTGGTCGAGTATGGTCAAGTTGAGTCAAGTCAATCTGTTGGTCAAGTCAAGTCAAGTCCAATCGTTCAAGTCAAATTGAGTCTATCAATCAATCAATTCAGGTACACAAGTGCATTGTAGCAACTGGTTGGTCCGTGAACACGACTCTCCAGAACCAATGGCGGGTTTGCCAACATCCCGGGGGAATCTGCTGTTTAACTAGTCTACTCTACTGCATTTTTATACATGGTTCAGAAACGCATGAATAGAGTGGCTTCGTGGGCGTCATGAGCTTGGGACGTAGGCAAGATTCACAGAAACCATTGTAATGTTTGAATAAAAGAGCAGACACTATGCGTCTCGAGTGCGCGCCATCTTGATAAAGGCAGACACTACTCGTCTCGAAGTGATTGATAGGGAATGAGGAAGGAAAGGGAAAGGGAGAGGGGAAAAAGGAAGAAGGAAAGAAGGAGGACACAAACCTATTGGTTTGTGTCTGGCACGGCCTCTGGCCACGGGCTGCGGGGCGGGAGAACCCCGGCTTGCTCATTGCAAACCGGGCTGGCAAAGCCCAAGGAAGCCTCGGGAAAAGACCCGCGGCCGAGTCTGACACGACGCGAGACTGAGCGTATAAATCCGGTCGCCCAGTGTGACGATGAAGCCGGACAGCCCAGAAGCGCGTGGGGAGGCGGGTGGGGCGCGAAAATTGGGCGGTAGGCAAAGTGGGATGAAGCGAGATGGGAGTTGAGATCAAGCCGTGGCTGAAAATCCGCCATGTGATCAAACTCCGCTCAACGACTCAGTGATAATAATTCCAAAGGCTCTAACGCCTCGCTCGCCACTCTATCTAGCGCTAGGCCTCCTTGTGCCTCGGAAACCCAGCTAACACTAAAGAAATAGTATTATGAGCTCATCCGGGTATCTATCCGAGCTCTGCAACTTCCACTATTTCAGTTCTTCTTCCAATTGGTTGGTCGGGTGGCTTCCAAGGTCCACGTGAAATGTTTATAATATTTGGGTGAGTTGGGCGTGTTTAGAAATCCTTCCGCCCCTCGGTCTTCTTCAACTGTTTGCCCCCAGCCTACCTGGAGTGCGCACTGGCATATTAGCCCTTGGTTCAACTCTCCAGATCACTCGGCATCTCTTTTGATCACTAAATAGTTCGGTTGGCTATCCGAGCTAGAGGCCAAGCCGTTCTTTGGCTCGGTTGGCTTTCCGAATTAAACACATGCGTCAAAATGTCATCATTGTCCCTTGGTTGATTTTCCAAGTTGGAGAAAACATTAGCCTCCGTCACGATCCCGGAAGGAAGAGAGAAGGAGAAGGGTGAGAGCGTTTTGGGATCAAATCAGTGCATTTGGGTCCAAACACTCTCGAGCTGATCTCATGGATCAGACTCAAGCCAGCTACTAGGGACAGAAGGTAACAGTAGGTATGTAACAGTAGAATGGAAATGATATAGGAATTGTAATAGGGACAGAGGGCGGGGACAAAGAATTGTATGCGACGAGACTGAGCTAAATTACTGCGAGCGCAGTGTGAGACGCGGATGTCTACATTGCAAGCTCGCAGGCCATTATATACGGCGCAGAAAGTATAAAGGCATTTAACAAGGCGAGGAGATGAATGGACAGAAAGTAGTGTAGCTACCATGAATGAGCAAAAGAGGCGGAGTGGCGAGAGAATACAATGCGGCGTCACGCGACGCGACACGTCGCGTATCGAGTCGCGAGAGTCTGGCTTGTTTGCTAACCAAGGGCAATCACAACACTCCCCCATATTGCCCAATTACCTTAAGCATTGGTACCACACTGTGTCACGTGATAATTCACGTTGCGTCCCAAGTTGCAACAGTTGAACGTGTCTGGTTCAGAACTCGAAGTCTTGTCACTGGTGTAGTTCATTTCACTGCTCCTCGTAGCAGGTGGTCTGGCTGACACTTTGGCCCTTCCAGATCTTATTCCATATCTGTCCAGTTCGTGTACTTGTTGTTTAGTGACTCAACTATTAGCAGTACTCCCTGCCCATAGAACAGTTTGCACATAACAAGGTCTGCCTAGCCATCTGGACCATTTAATCGGACTTGTGCGAGGTCACAAACCACTCTATATGATAGTCTGCCAGCGAAATAGTTCATGTTTAAAATGAAAAGATTTGCTTTTCACGCGTAGTCATTTTCACGGCTTATCATGATCACCAACAACTTGGTCTGAGATAGATCAAACAAGCTGAAAACCCATCTGCTCAAAAAGACAAGGAAATCACAAAACTTCAGTCTGACTTCAGTCAAACCTTGGTGTGAGCTTCCTGGGGCCTCATAGAAAACACCTTAAAAAAGTATTTTTGATATTTTTGATTATTGCCGAGATTTGCTGAGGTCCCATCAAAGATCAAAGCAAATCTCTCCTTCCCACCACCACTACGTTGACTCCTCCGGCGAAGCCAGTTGATTTTGTTACTGTCTAGAATCAAGGATGCCGGGATGCCACCATTCTGATTGAGGCTCCAGTCCACCTTGTACTCCTCGGCAGTGACTGCATTGACTTTAATGATGACAAGGCTTTGATCTAGTCGAGCCGTGACTTATCTATGGGTCGGACAGCAAACCTGTCTTCTTCTCCAATGGCGATGCTGCCTTCCATGCAGAGGACAACAACAGTGATGAGCTCAAATACGGTGGTGACGGCCTTCTCCCCGTCAATAATGAGCTCATGGACCTTCTCTTGGAGGGTGTGCGTGGGGCGATCCAGGACCCGAGGTGACTTAGGACCTGCTCCGCACACCTTGTCAGCGACGACCCTAGGTCGGCCTGATGTTGGCTTTCGGCACAGAGAACCTGACTAGGACTTCAAACCCCGGCGTAGGTGATCGGGTGTCGTGTTTCGTGTATGACGTGCTGGTATGGTGAGACCCTGGTATATGAGGAAGACGTCCTCCAGATAACGGGGTATGGATAGAGTTAAACCCCGAGAGTGATAGATAGCGAGCGGGGTTTAGAGCGAGAGTCAAGCCCAGTTTCAGACCAAAGCCTGAGATTAGACGAGGTAGAATCTACTGTACATTAGATTCTACTGCTGCTTTTATACTAAAGAAAGCCCTTGGCGATCACTCAGTGCCTGGTAACTAATTTAGTGTTTAGGGTTGGCGTAGAGGAGAACAATCGTGCGTTCTCCTATACGATCAAATGACCGCTGCGTCGGGTTTTACAACCCCTGGAACTCCTGTACCCCAATCAGTGTGATACTATATTACCAATCGGTGCCATTCAGTGGTGCTTCTGTCTTTGCCGACTGTCGTGCCGAACTTTGAACCCCGATGTGTCAGTGTGGATTTGGGCGTGCCGCGTTATGATCTGAGCGTGATCATGACACACCTAGCGCTTGGGCGAACAACCTTGCAGTCCTCGGTGCGCTCGAC